TAAAAGTGCAAACAAAAAACTCATATTAGTCTTACAGAGCCATTTGAGTGCTAGAAATTGACATCATTAAATGTGAGGGAGCACAGATAGAAATTAAACTATGTCTTGAAAGTTTTAATAGCCCTGGTCTGACCTGATAATTTTTTGGTACTTATAATGCGGCATGCAAACGTTCGATAAGGATACTCATGATAGCAAAACAATGTACAGGTGAGATTCTCAATTACATGTGGCCATGAAGGGCATGTATTTCAAAGTTAAAGGTTTTTCCTATCTTGGCCTGACATCTTTTGAAAGCATTACAGGGTGCCTTTGTCATTCCTTGGAGGAAAAGTTTCATGTCTTATATAGTACATTTCATTTCTCAAGAGCTCTGTGTGTAATAGTGTGTTGAAAAATATTGGATGATTGGTTTATTGCCCCTAAACTTTCTGCAATAAGGGAAATGAAATCCTGTAGAAATGTCCAAACAAAATACTATTTAAGAGCTTGTATTTAAATTTTTATGTCATTGACCAAAGTCAAAAGTAGATTTGGTCATTGTGATAGTATGAGGGTTAGCAATGGTTTCTTTCCTGTGCTGGCTGCTTAACTATCTCTGTCATTCTGTGGGAAGCTCTAGTTTTTACATAGCTTGAGGAGCTCAGAGACACTCCCCTAGATGTAAAAATCACTAAATAGATGATCTTCTTTGTTGTTCAGTTGTAATAAGGTACCTTCTATTAGATATATTTTCACTCCAAGGATTTAGATGATAATTTATGTGCATTTAAATACATGTAAACCTTGGGACCTTTCTCAGTTATACAAGGCCACAGAAAATATTTTACTAAGGAATCATAATAATGATGGCTAGTGTTTTACATGTATTAATTAACTCATTTAACCATATTCAGCCGTAACTACTACTATTCCTATTGTTGATGAGAAAACTACAAATAAAACAAAACTTTTTTTTTAAAAAAAGTCTTTTTTACAAGACTATTTTCCTTATTGCAGAACATTTAGTCTTGGTGAGGATAACAAACTTACCAAAATCACACAGCTAGTTGGTGGCAAAGCAGAAATTTGAACCCAGGCTGTTGAGCTCCAGAGCCTATGCTTTCAACCACAAATAAAGGCAAGAATCCCAGAGATGCCTGGAGTTGTCCAAGCCAACCTCATCCCACAGAGGACTTATGAAGATGAATTCCAGGCATCTCATCGTTGACATGTTCCTGGGTGTTAGCAGCAGAGACACTGAAGACTCTGGAGTAGCTACTGCTGTTGGAGTGTGGCGTTAGTCTGGCTGTGTGAGTCCTGAAAATAAGTCCATTGGAAGGTATAGGATGCTCCCTGTAGGGAAGGAAGAAGCTTTGAAGTGAAGTGAGCTCATGGTTATTGGCTCATCTCCTCTCCTCCAGATTCAGGATAATTCTTTACAAAATCACTGCCCTTGTAGCTTCCTCATGAGTACTTGATTACAACAGATGGAAAATAAATATGCACACTTATAATATTAACCAAGTGCCATGAACAGTCCCACTCTGTGTGCTGTGTATAACCAGGGTATAGTGTGGAAGGTCGTTGGGGTCAGGGGAGAGTGGAAATGATCCTTGAAATGGAATTATTTAGATGAAAAAACTCTAGGAAAGTGTAGTTTTATCCATTTAGATCATTTTAAGAAAGAGGAAATGACAAAGTTACTGCTCTATGGAGCTAACAAGCAAGTAGAATAGTAATACAATATCAGATAGTAAATGCTCCTAAGAAAATAAAATGGGGCATTGAGTTAGAAAGTGATAGGGGAGGGGTCTTTAGGTTTGGGTGATTGGAAGGAAGTACCACTTGAGCAGAGACTGAGGTGATGCACTGTGCAGAAGATTTTGCTGAAGAATATTCCAGGTAGAGGGAACAGTAAGTATAAAAACCCTGGAGATGGGATCCAGCAGGAAGTCTGTGACTGTAACATAGGAACAGTGGGGGAGAAAGGCAGGAGATAAAATCAGAGGTACCAGTGGATGGGGACCTTATCAGTCCCTACCCAGTGATTTGGATTTTATTACAAGGATAATTGAAAATGACTGGAGTGTTCCAACGGGTTGTGACATGATTGGATTGATGGTTTAGAAGGATTACCCTGGCTGCTGGATTGTGCATAATAAGTGGGATGGGGTGGATGTGTGGAGGGAGTGGGGATGGCTAGCATGGAAGAAGGGAGACCAGGTTGGAAACTCTGACCATGGTCCAGGCAAGTAGCTGGTGGTGAGGGTGCAGAACACTTAAGTTCAAGGTAGCAAATTTATGGGCTACACACAGCTATGATTGAGTCACTAGCTTCTGTTTCTTTTTCCTCAAGAAACAAGATAGGAAGTTCTCATCATTAAGATCATCACTGAGACTGAAAGCTGGCCTTCATGATTTAAGCAAGTATAATGACTAGGGGGAATGCTACTTGCAACCACAATTCAAACTCAGTGATGATCTTAATGAGGAGGATCATCACCATAATGACTAACAGTTATTGAGTATTTATAGTTCACTGAGCACATTATTTACATTCTCCATTTTAGAGATGAAGAATTGAGGCTCAAAGAGAATGAGTAACTTAGCTATGTGCTAAGTGTCAGTGCTATGTTCTTAATCGTCTGAACATTTCCCAACAATTACTTTCTGAACACTTATTATGTACCAGGCAGTGTCCTAATCACTAAGGATAAAATGATTAGCAAGGAATTTATGGTACCTATTCTTATGAAGACTCTTTCCCAATAAAGCAAACATACAAATGAATAGGAAAACCTATCAGATACTGATACAGGCTAGGAAGAAAATAAAGCCAGTGATGAGTTGACATAGAGTGTCTGGGATAGAGGACACAGGTAGGGGATACTTTACACTGGGTGGTCAGAGAAGGTTTGTGTTAACGTTCTGAGGCAGGATTGAGCCTGATGAATTTAAGGAGTGTAATTAAGTCCAGTGTGACTGGAACAAAAAGAGAAAGGTACTCTAAAGATGAGGATTTTGATGTTAAGAATTATGAGAAGTCTTTGAAGTTTTTAAACTGGAGAGTCACATGATAAGATTTGAATTATTTACTGATTCCTTTGGTTGCCTTGTGGAGAATGGATTGGAAGAGGGCAAAACTGGACTGGGGAGTTACTAGAAAGCTATCGCTTTCTACATCTATTGTGGTCTGCATAGATAATGGTAGCTTGGGCTGGGGTGAGTTGTTGGAATTTGATAAAAATGAATGGATTTAAGAGACCTTTTTGGAAGGTGAAAATTGACATGAACAACTCATCACACATGCTAAGAGTTGCAGCAAACTGTAAGCCTCTTGAGACCAGGAGCCATTGTTTGTTCCCTGTTCTACCACCAGGGAACACAGCACTGATAGGAGGCACTAACTAAATATTGATTGAATAAAGGTGTCACTGAGCAAATGAATGAATAAATGCAGCATAATAATTAATCACATCCTGGCATATCAAGTGTCAAAATTAAATTATTGAATTACAGAATAAAATTACCATTAAAGGTAGATTGTCTTAAATTGTCTTAAATTTTGTTAATTTTCATCATTGAAGGTTAGTGGTTTTTTGTTTTTGTTTTTGTTTTTGTTGTTGTTGTTGTTTGTTTGTTTTTTATCCTCTGATTATATAAATGTGACTTCCTGGATTGAAAATCATTTAAACAGAAAATTAATTTCCCAATGTTGTTTTCATACATTGCCCATATATGTTGTACAGTTTTGGAGAGGGATTTAGTAAAAAGCAAGATGTGAGAATAAAACAGAAACTATCACATCAAAAGTTTTTTGAAATGGATTTTTAATCTAGATAATTTTACATTAATACTTTAAAATCAGACTTGAAAAAAATGATGGCTTTTCTTTAACTTATGTCTAAAATGTGAATTTTAGGAGACTGGGAGACTCTGAGTCAAGTAGAAAAGAGCTTATTTTTTCTTAAAACCAATGAGAAATTTGTTTTAAAAGTATATAAATGTGTAAATTTTAAGAGATAATTCAAATCTCTGAAGAAAGGGGACTCTTAATTTATGTATAATAAAAGCACTTTGTCAATATTTATTCTATTTCTATAGCACAGTGTGTAAAGATTTAAATCATAATGAACTACTCCTAGGCAAGCAGAATGCAACATAGGCGTTTCCAGTGGAAATCTACTAACCTTATACTAGTGAGGAAAACCCAACATCTGCATTGAAATAAGGACATTCTTTGGACTCTTAAGAAATTACAGGCCTCATTTTTGTGGGTTGAAGTGTTTGGATAACTTGATAAGGAGATTATATAATTCCCTTATAGGGATATTTACTTAGCATTGTTTTTATTTTGTAACAATAACAAATGACAAATGTAATTTCAGAAATAGGAAACAAAATGACAGTTATATCCCTGGATGACCAAAGTTGTGAGATCAAGAAGTTATAGAAATATTCAGCTCTCTTTCTAGTTTCACTTATACTCTTAAGATTGTACATATTTCCTACCAGATCTGCACACTCCCTGTGGTGGAGAAGGTCAGCGTCGACCCTGTGAACACTATTCACACTCCTTCGTTAAGTTGTTTAGTTAGCCAAAACTTAGATATTTTCACAAAAGTCCCAGTAAATATTGAACTTTAATCTACTTATATTACTTAAAATTCTGCATGATCATAGTTGTGTATTTTTTTACATACATAAACTATCTGATGTTATTCTTTTTAATATAGAATTATTCATACAAATATTTCCATGTTCTAGCATTATCTAAAGATTTATAACTTTGAAAAAAGAGTACTTATTCAATAAACCATAATGGCAAATCCTATTCCAAATTTATTAAAAATGAATTTAGATTCAAACCCACTCCCCTATATGCATTATTTGTCCTACTCAAAAGTTTATCCTGGAAGAGCAATATTATCCTTTATATTACCCTTTCCCAGAAGAGAAAATTTTTAAATGTGCTTCATTTAATGACTTTAAAATACATACAAAACATTCTTTAAGCATTTTTTGAAAATTGAGTAAAAAATATTTAACAAAAAAGGTGTTAACTTTATGTTTTAAGGAAAAATGTTGAAAATGTTATCCTGGAGAATCTCACTTTAGGATGACTCTGCTGCCGTCCTAGCTTTCCCTTTGGAGTCTGAAGGACGGGTGTAGTCTCCTTAATGTTCTGGCTAGGTCATTGTCTCATTCTGGGAGCTATCAAGCACTCTCCTGAGACTGCCTTGCAGGGTCCAGTAGAATAATTCCATACGTGAACTCTCATACGCAGCATTTGCAACAGGTTGTACAAGGCATTTAAGATTGGGTAGAACGATGTCGATATTCTGTGAGTCATTTTTATATTGTCTTCCTGTTTATATTCTACGTTTTGTGAGTATTGTTTAGGACTTTATTTGCTAGTAATGGAACTTTTATTTAACGTAAAAATCTGCATCACACAATGTATCTTGCAGAAGCAGAGATGAATTTTAGCAGATGACATATTGCCATAAGACAAGATTGTTTAAATGAGAGAAATTTAACTTTGATCATATTTTTGCTTTGTAGTTTTGCCCCATCATTCAGTTTTTTTAATTAAAAAAACTATAATGTCAGGTTTGGTTAAAATATCATTGTCAGAAAATTTGAAACTCACTGGGCTCTTAGCCTTAAGACAGACTTTCATTTTAAAAATAAAATAGCTGAATGAAAAATAGTTTGCTTTAGTTCAGAATACATACATAAAGTGTTTAATAATTAAATGTGAAGAAACGGTTTTGAGTACCCTTGTGTTACATTTTTTTAAGCTTGACCAGAATCTTTCTAAGAAAGATGAAAATTAATTTTAAATCCTGAAGCTAAAACATGTTAATGAACTAAATAAAAGTTGACACATTTCTAATTGTATCCATCTTCCCACCTTTTACCCTTAAGTATTTAAGATATTCATAGACAAAAGCCATCCCTTATCATTTCACTCCAGTCAACAGTGCATAAACTGAAGTTTGGATATTTTGTCAAAAGATGTGGCAAAATATACACTTCAAGTGCATTAACCACTTTCCTTACGCTTCTGAAGATAAATGAATTGCCTGAACATCTCAAGATCTTGAAAGTTTATAGTGATGGAAGCATAGGTTGCAAGTGAATGTGTTGGCCTTGTAAATTCTACTCCTAAAACTGTAGCATCTGTAGCATAGGCGCCTTCTTAATGAAAGAGTGACGCAGTCATAAATTTATGTATACCATGACGCGTGGAAGTATCAAAGTTTCAACTTTCCATGTGTCAAAAGAGGAGAAGCTATTGTTTTAATATAGTTGAACATTATGTTGGAAATAGTAGTCTTTTCACTGTGTTTTACCCAGACCCAGACTGGCAGAGGTAACTCAAAGTAGTTGATCCTTTGGAGTACTCTTTTCCTCCCTTTTCGTCTGTCTTTCCACCCTATCCCCTTAAAAATAAATCATGACATAGAAAACCATATTTAGTTTATGGACGAGAATTCTTAGAATAATTTTTTCTTTGTCAAGCATCAGACTGAAGTTATACTGTTCTGTTATATTGAGTTTCTATATTGATGTAGGGTACTGCAAAGCTGTGTACAATAAATGTCAAGGATAGTGATTTACTGACAACAATTAGGAAAAGAGAACTATAGAATGCACAGGAACATTTTCAGAAATGGGTTTTATTATATTTCATAGGCACCACTCACTTTACTTTTGGTGGGTTTTAATACTTGAATCAAAATAAAATAATACATGAGTTAAGTATTAAACCAACAGATTAAAGCCCCAGGCCCCAAGCCCCTCATTTTGGTTGTAGCTCTTGGTGTAGATGCTATGGTGTGAGGGCTGCTTTCTTTCAATGGCTGGTTGTCATTCAGGCTGGGTTGTCATGTGACTGCCTGTCTGTGCCTGCTGTACAGGTGAGCGGATGTTCTGCACAGCAAGTGTAGACAGGCAGACACATGACAACTCTGTCCAGCCAGGCCCTTGGTTCCTTCAGGTTTCCTTTGCTCATAGACAGATACAATCAGCCTGTTTTCCAGATTTGGTGATTTTGGAGAGTAAGGGGAAAGGGAGAAAAATACACAATATAATTAAACATTAAAACATTATGGAACTAAAAACACGTTAGACTTTTGACTTTATTCAGAAAGTACATTTATACATTTGTTCCAAATGTGCTAACATGGATAATTTGCATAACAGAAAACTCACATTAAAATTTTAGGAAAAAAAGAGATTAAACACAAGGTTTTTTCTTAAATCCAATTCATATTAGTACTGGCCCACATGTAGTCAGAGTTCAGAATAATTGAACCAGATGTTTTTCCTCTTTGCAAAAAACTGCATATTTTAATACTGAAGTTAAAGATAAAAACTATGTTTATACATGTTTCTTTTAGTAGATAAGTACAATAACCTTGCCCATGAAAAAGAAAATTATCATTGACATGGAAACAGCAGCCCTTTTCAAAATAATGAGCCTAATGTATTTGGCAACCCAAGCTGCTGACTTTGGTATCTGATGCTTTGATAATAGGATTTTACAAGGGAATATGTTTTTACCAATTATATGTTAAACAACAGGAACCGATTTAAATGTCTCATTTTCCTTTTAAATGCAAAGTTTCTAAGTGTGGATGTGAAATCAAATTAAAGGCAGTTGTGAGCCTAAGTTATCCACCTCTTAATTAACTACAGGGACATGCTGTGAATCAAAAGGGTATAAACTGGAAGGTTGTTACTCACAGTGATGCTCAGAATGTGTTTTGGATATAGTTAGTGCAACATAGTTACAAAATAGTACCTTAAGAAAAGGCAGAAAAGGCAAATTCATTTCATATCCAAAAAATTAAAACCAGATCCTTTGAAAAATTTTCTATAATTTATATGAGCTAATAGTGTTAAATATGCAGATACAAAAGTTAATTCTGGTGAGTCGAGAATAATTCTACTATTTTAATATCAATTATCAATTCACATTTGTAGAAGTATTAAGCAAATTCCCCTCCCCTTTTAAAAACAAAAATATCCAAATAGTCAAAATTCCAGTAAGTAGGACTTCTTAAAAAACACAGCACCAAGAAACACAGTATTGTCCACAGATTGTATAATTAGACATTTTCTCAAAGAACTTTAAGAAAAACAAATAGTTTGTGATTTATCTTTAATTGTAAAATTCTGAGAAAATAGCAAATAGAAACTTAATGGAAAGCAAAATAGTTTTTAGATACTGAGAAAATGACAATTTTCTACAAATCTGGACTTTTATGCAGTGATTAGATAAGGTAATGTTTTAACAAAAGCTGGTAAGTGCCATTTTCTGTGTACTTATGTAATTTCAAGAAAGTAAATTTCTGATTCTGTTTCTGGCCATCACTTCCGAGTAAAGGAACTTTTTTTTTCCTTGACAGAATAATAAACATGAGTAAACTTGTCTGTTATTTAAATAGCTACAAGGTTAGAGTATGCCAAAAACCAGTGCCTTAAAATACTATTGTGTTACTGTTGCTGCATTCAGTGCAACAGAAAGTAATTATAGAGTGATTCACTTACAAAGAGTATAGTGGTGGAAATTAAAAATTACTAAAATTCTTTATAACTTTTCCTCTCTCTCCCATAAATAATTTGATCCAGTTAACTCTGCTCAATTAAAGGAATGATGCATGCAACCTGAAAAAATAAAAAGAAATATTTGTGAGTTTGTATGTTATGCTTTAATATAAAACAGTTTTATTAAGGCAAGATATAAAAAAAAATTTGATCCAGAAAAACCACAACAGTTTTTCAGGGGGAAAAAAAAATCTCGCTGAAAATGATTGTTCTACTCATAAGGCTTTTGGACACTTTATGTTTCTGATAGATTTTTAAAACACACTTACAGTAAGTATGTGACATATGCACACTTCATAGTTATATTGAACCTGCCCCTAAACTTGTTAAAAAGATGAAAGACTGAAAACCATATTGACTTTTTTTTAATCTCCCAAATTATAGGTTGGATATTAGTTTATTATTACTTAAAATACTAGCTAAAATATAAAAGAGCTATTTGTATTATTATCATACTATGTAATTTTTAGCATGGTTATTATACCTTGTTTTCTTTTTGTCTTTTATTTCTTAAGGAAAAAAATGTAAGAAAAGAATTATCTTCTAAGTCTTCTGTAGTAAAATTAAACCAAAGCAACTCCAGGAAACTGGCTGTCACGCTAAGTCAAAAAATTCAAAATGAAGATTTAATTATTTTCCTAATTTACTTGGTTATCTCTATCTATTAAAACTGACAAAAATTATTCATAAGAGACCTTTGAAAATTGGTAAATATTTATATCTACTTAATTTACAGAACATGAAAGTAAAAAGGGATTTGAATTAAGAAAGTTTCTATCTTAACTCAGGAATTTCCTGTCTTAGGTTAAAGCCTGACCTTCCAGTTATTTTAAGCCAGGATTTCTGAGTGATGGTCTCTTAGTTATTATTTTGACATTATTGTGATGGGTGGGCTTTTCTGCTTAGAGCAGGGTAAAGTGCATTGTTTATAAAGAGCGGATCCCTTATAGAGTAAGTGAAAGCTTGGCGTCTCTTTAGCGAGCATGGACACTTGTGGATGAGTGAATTTTTTTACATTACCAAGTTGTACTTTTTATATCTTATAACAGCTTAAGACTTCAACCAAAAAAGTGGGAAGAATTCTTTCATTGGGATTTTTATGTCTAAACTATTTCCCACAGAGTGAAATACTTGGGTGGTCTGTAGGCAAGAGGTGGGGGTAGATAGTATATTTTGGTCTTTTACAAACATAAACATATTATCTGGGCCGAAAGCCCGAATGCCAAGCAGGAAGGATATTAAGCCTATTGACTAACTACAGGAAAGTGATCAGCGTGAAACTTTGTCCTATAGTAAACAATCTTTCTTCGATTTTGAGATCTGTGGGCTAAAAGAAAAATGGGTTTGAAAATTGAAGTACACCGTTTTCAATTGATCCTTTTCCAATTAAGACATTATGGTGTTGAAGCTAAGGCTCTGAACTTCCTTTCTCTTAGATGGCGGAAAAGTCCTTTTAACCCAGTACCTAGTCCAATTTATCAATCGTTCACATGCTAAAATGAAAAATAATTATGAAATTTCTATGAAATGTAGTTTGGACAGACCCTGAAACAGTTTCTCTTCATGACCATGTATAATGTTTAATTTTAATACTTACACTTACCATTACATCCAGGGGTAGTTTTAGTTGAAGATGCTCACTGTTGGTTAGTTTCCTCTGGAATAGATTCCATGATCCCTAAAATATTTGTATATCTCCTTATAAAGTAATATGAAAATAAAATTAAACATTTTTCTAATTTACCTGGATATAGATACGGCTATAATGTATATAAATGTGGGCATGTGTACCAGCGCATAAACTACAATCCTGCCTTCATTCAGCAGAGCTTTATAAAATGAGCTTTTACTTTTGATCTTTAATTTAGCCCATATAATTGAAAAATAAGTACTATTCCTTTTCATTTGTTAAAAGTTTGCCTCAAAAATAAGTCGCTAGAGCCACATCAAGCACGTGCAGGAACTCCTTGGTTATCCTTTTACAAAGTAATTCTTATATTTCTACTCTTGTACTTATGCCAGGGGCACCCTTATGTCCCTTCTGTCTCCAGACCGAAAGTCATCCTGAGGGAGAAAATAGGTGAGGGACCCGTAGGGATTCATTTCTTTGAAACAAAAAGACCATTTAACATGAAGAAAGAAATTGAAATTAAATATACATTAAATGAAAGCAAATTACGAACTGTAATCATTTCTAGAGTTAAAAAAAAAACAACCAGAAAATTTGAGAAAACTTAAACATTACCAAAGTACCTTATTAGCTATTCTTCTTCAGTAATTGTATCAATTAGAAAAAATATATTTCTTGAAAAAATGAGCTCCTCTAAGTTACTTTTTTTAAAGTTTTCTTATGTAAAAGAAACTATATAGATTTTTAACATCTCATTTGTTCTGCTAAAAATAGTTAATATGGAACTCTGCAAGTCACAATAGAAAATGAAAGGATGACTTTACTATATCATCTAAGTGAAAGTAGCTAAATTTCTCCTTGCTGTGTATATTTTAACTAATAATCATGAATATATAAGAATACTTATGTTTTCTTTATACACATTTTGGGGTGATCAGAAGGGTAATTTTTAAAGTAAGTTGTTTTGACAAAAGAAAGCTTAGGGAACCTTTTATAATAAAATATTTTGCTAAAGAGAACTTGAGTCAATTTTTGAATTGTTGCAAAATGTATAACTTAGAAAAGAATTTGTTCAGGAACCACTGTAACTTTAAAGGACAAAAGAGATTACATTTATTTTTCACAAACCCTGTAGAAGAGATGTTTTCATTATATAGAATTGTTTGGGAATTGAACTAAATGGGGGTTAAGAAAATTAGTGATGAGGCAATAACATTTTTCCAGAACTTTCTTTAAGGGACCCACCTCTAAAGTTCAGCACAGATCACATTGCAATCCAGACTTGCTCTATTATTTTCTCTATTAGGATTTCATTCAGCTTGAGGGTTTTCTTCCCTCCCACCTTCCTCCCCCTCTCCCACCCTCCTTCACCTCCAGGACAGCTGGAAATTGACCAAAGAAAACTTCTGCCTTCGTTTACAAATTCCTTTTTTATCAGTGGGTTTCTAGACAAAGTGCCTTATCATTTTAAATGCTCGGAGAAGTGGAAGCATTGTAAGCTATAGGCAAGAGGGCTCAGCTGAGCAGCAAGTATCAATTACTCTTTGATTAAAAAAAAAAAGTGAAAGATATTTACAGGGGTATCTGAAGATAAGAGATTTTTATTTCCTGATTTATTCAATTGCTGACTCAGTAAGTTGTGGGTTGGCGCTCTTCTCTGGGCAAATCCCATCTGCATTGTCTGGTAGGCAAGACTTGGCAGGTTCTTCTTTTATTGTTAGGTACTATTATTCCTGGTGTTTATATTATAGAAAGAAATCTTCAGAAAAGCACTATCCATATAGCATTTAAAAACCAGCAAGTATTCTTTACTTTGGGAAAAATGACTTCAGTCCTGGGATGTTAAAAGTTACACATACAGCCTTCATCCATATACGTTTTTAAATCTCTGAATTATTATTAAACAATTCAGAAGTAGCCTCATTAAACTATTCTTAAGTGTCTGGAGTGAGTTTTTTCATATTTCATTTTGAAGTGGGAAAACCTTTACACTTAAGAAAACACTCGAATTATCAATCTTCAGGAAAAAACCAAAAAAACAGTGAATCGCTATATACCACACACGTTCGCTCTTTTAAAATTAAACACATCTCTACCCATCACACATGTACCTCTGTTTCCCTTGCTTGTTAACACAAATCATGGACTCCCCACCTAGGTTCCCTTGGTCACAGACCAGGTGAGCAGTCAAGAAGGCCTTACCCGCTGGTCTTCCTTTCGGCAGTCTTTTCTCAGCAGTGTCCCCGAGGGCTTCTTGGTCCCTAGTGTGCAAAACCTGTGAAGAAAAACACTGGATATGAGATTCAAAAAAGGAGCAAACAAATGTCTTCTCCTTGGAAACAGCCCATTTTGTCCCCAGCAGTCCATGGCGTTGCTCTCCCTTGCCCAGTCTAACCAATGTGCAGACTACTGTACAACGGCATTGTCCTGAACAGGTAGTCTGAACACTGGGGCGACGGAGCAGGATCTCCAGAAGCTTCCTTCCATGTACTTAAAATCCTCTCCCGGTCCTCAGGAAAAGCCTCCCTTCCTGCACCAGGGGTTGCATTCAGCTTTCCCCCCTGAATTCTGCTGCGCTGACTGAGACACACTCAAGGGCTGTGATTTCCAGTCTTGACGTGGCACATTTGCTGCAGACTGGGGAACTGGCAATGAATTTAGGACCAGGAAAAGGGGGAGGGCTGGGCTGGAGAGTCCATATATGGGATGATGTCACCCTGGGGAGGTTTGGGTATGCGCTGTGCCGCTGGAGAGACCGCTAGAATCGCCTGCTCTCAGACATGGGTCTGTGCATAAAATGGTACCAGATGTTTTAGTGTAACGTTAAGCAGTCATTTCATCTTCAGGCCAGATTTTTTTCCTCAACTGGGCAGGAAGTGGGCCCCAGTATGGAAAAGCTGTAAAAAAAAAAAAAAAAAGAGTCAAGATGTACAGTTCGGCTGTGGCCAACTGAAAGTGAGTTAGTGTAGATGTACAAATTTACTGTCTGACCCAGGCCAGAGAAGTAATTTGAAGATAGAGGGTAGATAAAATAGTAAACAGAAAGTTGAACACTGGAAGGCAGAGCTCATTTGGAAACCTTTTTGAGCTTTCCTGTGGCACTTTGTTTTCTGGTATTTCACTCGTCAAAAAGGGCAGATAAGTTTCTCTCTCTCTCTCTCTCTCTCATTTTCTCTCTCTCTCCGTCTCTCTTCCTCTCTCTCGCTCCCCGCTTCTCTCTCTCCCCCTCCTTCCCTCCCCCATCTCTCTCTCTCT